GGTATTGTTGTTGTCGTGTTGGTAGTTAATGTTATTGTTGTGGTGGTGGTGATTGTGGTTGCGGTTAATCCTATTGTTGTAGTGTTGGTGGTTGTGGTTGATGTTATTGTTGCGGTGTGGTGTGGTGGTGATGGGAAAGCGTTGTTGTGCATTCTTGGCTTACCCTTACAAAACGGTTTTCGTTTGTTTGTGTAGAGATAGAAATTCCCACTGGCCAATCCTTTGTACTTGTAGGCATTGTGTCCCATTTCTGGACAACTATTTCTTGCACAATTCATGCAGCTGCCACGTTTAAACCGGTCCCAACTTGAACAACGATAGGACCGAAATGCACACTGGGATGTGATGCTTTCAATGTATAGGTCTTGTGCCCGGAAATGACTACAACGGTCTATAGGATGTAAAAGAAAGTGTCAGTTGTTTTGCATGCCACTTGCAATTCGTCTTTYCGCGCGCGAAATCAAAAAWTTGCGAAGAAAACTAGTTCACAATGACTGGCTTGGAGCTAGTATAATCACAAGATGCTAATTAGGAAATAGTGCATTTATTATGCTGAGGGGGGAGGGGGAGGGGGTTATGAAGATGTCGTATAAATATYTCATTCAGATTTAAGCTCCTGTTTGGATTGTCACAAATTTTTCAAGGCCCCTTAGAAAATTTATAATTTTTTTAAGAATATTATTGGGCCCCTCTATATTTGTCAATRAAAGTGGCCCGGTTGAAATGTAGTACATACACTGTAATAGTAGTCAATGCATATATAACRTCTCGTGGTTAACTTTGCTCTTACCATCAAAATCCCMGGGGCATCCTGGCTGGTTGTTTCCACCGTTGGGCCAAAAATCGAGATGTCCGCTTTTGTCAGTTGTGCCAAGATTCCAAAGGGATGAAATCAGTTCTACGAATTCAATAATACAGGGAAAAAAAGCAATAATAAGCCTAGCTGTTTCCCGTTTAATCGAGGCGACCGCTGTTTTAGTAGACAACAGACTCACTCGAGCAGAGACCTTACCAAAAAGTAAAAGAAAAATGTTGGCATTACAATAGCTCTAGAAATTTGAATCTTCTCCMATTCAAGGCTAARCCTGTATTCCCACAAGACCTARAGYMTMA